CTCTGTGATTACAACCGAGATGTTTTATTCCGGTTAAATGAGTTGATGATTTACTCAACTTTGTGATTTAAACCGAGATGTTTTACTTCGGTTAAATGAGTTGATGATTTGCACAACTCTATGGTCACAATCGAGATGTTTTACTCCGGTTGAATGAGTTGATGATTTACTCAATTCTGAGATTTCAACCGAGAAGTTTTACTCCGGTTGAATGAGTTGATGATTTACTCAACTCTGTGATTTAAACCGAGATGTTTTACTTCGGTTGAATGAGTTGATGATTTATTCAACTCTGAGATTTAAACCGAGATGTTTTATTCCGGTTAAACGAGTTGATGATTTGCTCAACTCTATGGTCTCAACCGAGATGTTTTACTCCGGTTAAATGAGTTGATGATTTGCTCAACTCTGTGATTACAACCGAGATGTTTTACTCGGTTGAAAGAGTTGATGATTTACTCAACTCTGAGATTTCAACCGAGAAGTTTTACTCCGGTTGAATGAGTTGATGATTTACTCAACTCTGTGATTTAAACCGAGATGTTTTACTTCGGTTGAACGAGTTGATGTTTTGCTCAACTTTGAGATTCTCAGTCATTTCGGTGGACTAAGTTGATGATTTACTCAACTTCTTCGAACTTCAACCGAAATGTTTTATTCCGGTTAACCAAGATGAAGATTTATTCAACTTTTGTGAAACTTCAACAAAGATGCTTTACTCCGGTTAACTGAGTTGATGATTTACTCAACTTTATGATTCAAACCAAGATGTCTTTTCCGGTTAAATAAGTTAAACAAGATGGTTTATTTTGCTGAAGTATTTTGTCCGACTGAAGTTATCTAGCTCGAAGACCGTGCAAACACTTGATGAAAATTGAACTTTTTCATTGATGTGCAAAATATTTACAAGAAGAGGGGCAGATAGCCCGGTTACATATTCAAACAAAAAGAAAGAAGACAAAGAAAACTAAGCTAGGGGGAAAGGTTTGTGAATTCATCCCCGGTCGACCGTGGTTGTGGTCACCTGGGTGCCGGTCTTCTCCTGGCCGGCCTGATTTGGGCGGTTGTCACCCTCCGCATTCTCCTCGGCGTCTTCAGCTTCTTCTTCCTCGGCCTCAGCCTGCAACGCGCTGAAGACGTCGTTGGCATATGGCACCATGTATGTCAGCAGAAAGGCAACGGGGGAAGAGGCAAACATGTCAGTCCCAGATCCTTGGCCGAGCTATTCGCAAGCAACTTTCCACCCGGACTTGAAGAAGATGTCCTTGGTGGCCTCCATTTGCTTGGTGTAGTTTTCCTCGGCCTCATTGAAACCTTCGTTGTTTGCCTTGTCCAATTTGTCCTTCCTCGATTGCTTCAACGCTTCCAGCTCGGCCCGGAGAGCGTCCATTTCTTTTTCGGTGGCTCCCAGTTGGCCGAGTAATTTGGAGTTGTCGGTGTTTGCAATCTCCAAAGAGGCCTTTGACTGTCCTAGCTTGGTCTGCAAATGCTCAACCTGGCTGGCAGAGTTGGTCGCCTTTTGCCAGAGTCTGTGAATCCGCTCCATTACAAGGTGTTGTTTTTGGATGGCCTGCAAGATGAGAGTTTGATTAGAGAGAGGGAACCGAGCAAACACTTGGAAAAATTTGAATAAAGCATGCAAAACTCTTACCCGGGTCATAGACTTGACCGAGGACTTCACCAGCCGGGCGTCGGGCACGTGGTCGCTGCCAACCACGTCGCTCGGCAGTAGGAGGGCTTTTGTCAGGTTGAAGGCTAGGAGGTGTTCCTTGTCGCCTTTGACCGAAGCGGTTGCCGGGATCTCCTTACCCCGGTGCTTCAACTGGGGCTTCCAGGGCGGTGTTAGCTCGGTTGTGACCGCGGGTTGCTCGGTGTTCAGCTCCGCGACGAGCTCAGCTGAGGGATCGGCGATTTGAGGCCTTTTCCCAGCTCGACGGGTGTCCTTGCTGGCCTGTGATGGGGGGGTTGATGCCAAAGCAATGACGGCCTCAGATGTTTGCCCGGCTCGTGAAATGTGAGGTGGGATGCTCGGTAGCTCGGTGGATGTGGCGGTGATGAGATTTTTGAAGCGGCTTCGTTTTACCATCTCCTCTTCTTCGATCAACCGGATTAGGGGCACGTCCGGTAGTGTTGGATCAGGTGGTGGAGAGGGCGCGCGAAGAAAGTCGGTTACTCTACTTCGGCGAGGAGCGGAGTACCTGTAGGTCGGTACGTAGCCGAGAAGTTTGTGACAATCTCGGTTTGGGTATCAGAGCACGGTTCTGATGGCTGCTTCGTTGGGATTATAGTAGTTGGCTTGCAAAGCTTCGATGGCTGTAAAGGGGAAAAGAAGAAAAGATATTAAGTACAGAATAGCGGAGAAAAGTAATTTGACCGAGCAGTTAGCACGGCTTACATGTTGAACCAAAGTTCTTGTTGATATACTAGCCCGACACGTCGACTGTTTCATAATTATCGGACACCCAGAAAAAGTCGTTGTCATGCATGTCTTTGTTCGGGGTGCCGGTCACTATCTTCTCTTTGCCCGATCTGATCTTTAAATAATAGGCAAGGCCGTCGCCTGTATGCCTGAGGGTATACTGGCGGAGTATCTCGGCTAATCCTAGGTTGGTTCCTAGCCGGTTGTTCAGCTCAGCTATCCCGTTAATTATCCTATAAGTGTTGGTTGAAACTTGGGTTGGTGCTAGCCCGGTGCGCTGCAGGAACTCGCACATTAAAGGATTGACCGGGAAGCGTAGAACGCCTTCGATAATGGAAAGCACGGTGAAAGGGCACTCGTCTAGTCTACTCCAAGGGGTTGTGTCCTCAGCACCGAGCTCTAGATGTACGTCGGCAGGGATACCGTATTCTTCCCGGAACGCGGCTAATGCGACCGGCATGTCAACCAGGAAGCGGTAACGCCCTATGTGTAGCCGGTTGGTTTTAGCACGGCTGTGTTAATTTCTCGGTTGAAGGCTGCTCGGCCATAGAGAGCCTCAGTATTGGTGCGTGGTCCCTTTGGACTCTGCAGGAAAAGGAGGGTAAGCAAAAGAAGTTTTTCTGCTTACCTCAGTTCCTACAGGAGTTTTTGCAAACTCGCAATTTGCTCGGTTTAGGTGTTTTTTGGGATCAAAAGAAGACCTGGAGCCCGGTCTTCTCCAGATCTTCGTGTGTTCATCACTGGAGTTGAAGAACAACAGAGAGAACAAGGGCATAAGAGGTTTTTGGGGGGTTATATCCTAAAACTAATGGTTTTTGTGCCCTAGAATGTGAAATACGAAATCAAAAAAATAATATAAAGACTCGTAGAACTTACCAGAAGGAGGCAAAGGTTGAATCTTCAAAGAGCAAGAAGGGTGCTTGATAGTGGGGAGAGCCCTGTAGCTTTGGGTTGTCTGGAACGAGAGAGAGACAATAAGAAGAAAATGTCAAGGGACAGGTGGTGTATTTGAAGGAGAAGAACCACCAAAATTTGAATATGAAGGGACGGCTGGGTTGGCTGCTCGAGGCCAATCAATGATCGATGCGTGTCCATGATGGCGGCGACATCAGTATTGAAGGGACAAGATGGCAAGTTGAGGCGTCGACTGAGCAAGTTTAGAAACCGAGCGTGGGGATTAGCGTGGTTGACGCCTTGCGAACTAATGACCAAGGGAGGATCTACTCCGGTCAGATCGTGTAATCCCAGTCACACTTGCGCGGACGGAATTAAGGGGCAATTGAGAGGGAGATTTATAATCTGGCTTTGGGCCGTGGTAGAAGCCGAACAGAAGATGGCCGAGCACGTTTGGGCCGAGCTAACTTGGGCCTATTTAGAGGTGGTTTTGCTCGGTCGAGGTCCAGGATCGAGTTGGGACCGAGCTACTTGGGCTTGTCTGCGTCCAGAATCAGTCTTGATCGGCCGAGGGTCAAGCCCCGTGTATGGGCCGAGCTTACTTGGCCGAGTTGGTCACCTACCAACCCGGGTTCCACGGTTCGCACGTTTAGCTCGGCGAAAAGGCTTTATGTTTGCCGGTTATACCTGTCTGGAACTCTGTTCTACCAAAATACTACTGAGCGCGGTTGTTATGGAGCTCGGCGAGTGGACATTGGGACTCATTGTGCAGCCCGGTCGTGTGATGCCGAGGTGATGCCGCCGGGCTGCCGAGTTCCCGGTAATGTTGTCTGGCGGTTTGGTTAGGTGGTGTTCGCTGGATTTGTGCTGATAGATGGGAGAGCAGTTCCACATGTCAAGAGACTAATGGGTGCAGAGTTGAGCGTTGAAAGTATATAAGCATGACAGCGCCCCCCATGCTAGGGATGGAATATCATTTGGTGAGATATACTTACATTCATTGAGTTTCTCTCTCTCTCTCTCTCTCTCTCTGAGTGTGTGCTAACTTGACCGTCGGAGGGGTTTCCGGCAACACACTGCCGGGTAACTCACCGCCGTTGTGCTTTCAGGTTGATCGGATAGACACGGAGCTTGGACAAAAGGAGTACGGACAGTGATGAATGTTTGCTCCCCGTACGCTTACTTTATTTTTATACCACTTTCAATGTATGATTTCATGTGTTAATTCATCATTGGTGTAATGGGTCTTACGACTAATGTTTATGTCAAATAATGTGCTAACACATGATGTGGTAAATTGAAAGTGACATAAAAAGATGATAAATATAGTATTACTCTTAAATTAAAGTTGGATAGTTGAGACTTATTTTCCTATAAAATAATAACAATAATATTACAAACCCAGAATAATATATTCAAAATTTATCCAAAAATATCAACATATGATTGAGATTTATTCTACATATAAATTCACAATACATAATTTTAATTTCCACCGCACAATCCACTCTAGTTCAAAATCTAAGACCCTAAATTTGGGTGCCTAGGCTTATTCAAATAATAATAGGCAAAGTAAAGTGCAAAAAATATAGTAGAAGGTGACAAACACAACAATCAACAATGTACTAACTCCATATAATTGAAGAAAGAGAAGAGAAAGAGGACAGAATAGATTGAAAACCTTGATAGAGGACCATTGTTTGGCCATGAGAGGATCATCATCATCAACAAAGGATTGGTCAGTTGAAAAGTAAACAGCTGGAGACCTGGGTTCTACATTGAACTTTTTGCAAAATGGAAGCCAATGTTTTGCGAAACGAGAGGCCTCTAACAATGCATAGAATGTTAACTCTGATCCGCCGTCGTCGGAGAGATACACACTCAACTTCTCCGGCGGGTAATCATAAGCCATGACTGATAACACAGTGTTCACCACCAGTATTGGTGGCTCTATTGTTGGGTCTGCAGTACACACGAACACATCCACCCCCGGCAAATCCTTCTCATATCTGGTTTTTTTTTGTTTTGTTTTTTAACAGTTACAGAACCATAAACACCAATGTCAATAAGCAACAACTTAGTCTAATTATAAAGTCATATTCGTCCAAACAAACATTAGTATAAGGTTAATTACACTGATCAGTCACTTTTATCAAAGTTTTAGTATTGTTACTTTGAATTGTGACTGTCAAATTTTTACACCTAAAGTCAAATTATAATATTATATCTCCATCATTCATCAGGTATTTAGGAGATTGATAGAACTTTTAATATGAGTAATGCGCGAAAATTTTCTTGTTTCATTAATACCTTTGCACTTTCACTAAAATTATATTATTTTAGGCCTGGTTTGGCATACACAAAAAAATATAAAAAATTAAAAAGTTATTAAAAAAGTAAAAAGTTATTACTATTTACCAAAAAAAATATTTAAAAAAACCCTTCTACATAGGCCAAGTACAACCCACTCTCAGTATTGAAGTGATGGTCACGCGGGTGCAAAAAAAAATTGGCATAGGGTGTTGTTCGGCCCGTGAGAGCTCATCACGGGTCCCATTTTGATAATCTGAACAGTTCAATGTGTAGAACTTGTCGATCACTATATGCTTGTAAAAAATCACGTTGATCGGATCTCGATAACTATATGATCAAATCAATTTTGTAAAAACAAATAGACGGTGAAGAAATTAACAGTTGACAAAAAATTAAACTGATCAGATAGCTATCGATATCTGACCAACATGATTTTTTATAAGCATTTAATACTCAACAAGTTCTATATATTGACGGTTTCGATTATCAAAATGAGACCCGTGGTGGCCACTACAAGCCGAACAGCACAGTCTAGACCAATATTGGACTGTAGGCAATCTGCTCCTATACTTCTTCCCTGCCCATCGTTTGGCTTCGAGGACAATCCAAGTCAGTAGGCAATTCATTACAGTAGGGGTAAAATGGTAATTTTGCTATTTTATACAATATTTTAATATACATTTTTTTCGTAAAAAGTTAAAAAATTATTCAAAATAACCATCTTTTTTTTCTCTACTTATTAGTTCAAAATGTCAAAAAATACACTTATTGAGGACATTCTAAACAATCCCTTAATCATTTCAGTTTTAATTTTCGTCAAGTCTCACAATAGATAAATAAAATAGTAATATTGCAACTTGACTTACAACAACGGTGGATTGTCACAAATAAAAATAAATAGGCTAAAGTGGAATTATATTTAAAATAGTATGCTTAGTATAACACTCTTGTGTATGCATACATACATATAGACACAGAGAGGGTGAGAGAGAGACCTTTGAGAAAGCCTGTCTTTGAAGGTGTGGCGATAGATGGGATTCCATCTAGCGAATTGGGTGATAAACCAGTAGAAAATGAACCAGAGCTCGGCGATAAACAATCCGATCCAAGCCCATCTACTACCATCTTGGGTAGTAGTAGTAGTTGTTGTTGGGGGTAGATGACTCACTCTGTAAGCACATATGAAGCATATACCCACAAATACTGAAACAGCATACAACTGATATGCAATACGTCCCTTTGATGTCTTTGTCTCGAAAAGAGGAAGACAACCATCTCCTCCCATCTGTCACTCTGTGTGTGTGTGCGCGCGCCTATGTGAATGCAATGCTATGCTGTGAGGGTTGGTGTCAATTTATGCAACACCAAGTCAACCTTTTCAACTTCGTTTATAGTTCATTACTTGGGTGGGTGCTTTCAAATAAAGATAAGATAAATTATTTGGAGCTCCAATGGTTGAGCTCGAGGAGAGCTCTAAACAGGTGGTCTTACCTGTTGTTTTTTTTTTTTTTTGGTGTCACATTATAAGAATTTTAATTAGAGTCTTAAAATTAGAATTCTTATCATTATTATCAAATAAGTTAGCCACCGGTGCTATACGTTTACGATTATATATTAAAATTTTTAGATTAGATAACAAATAAGAAAAATTATTTGACCTGTTTTGAATGATAAAAAGTGTTTAATATTTCTGAGTAGTTTGATAAATGGATCCGGTTAATAACATTGTCAATAAGATTTACATAATGTTAAAATATTTATAATCTTAATATACACTTTATATATTCCACAACACTTTAATATATTTTTATTAATTATTTTACAAATTTTAATATATTTTGTATATATTTTTCTATGAAGCAGGAGCAAATATTGTCGTACTCGTACCAGATATTAATACACATATCGATAAAGCTACATGTGTATTAGGTACTCGAAATATGTACTAGATATGTTTTATACATTCTTTGACAGTTGGGTATTCTGTAAATACTTCATGAGTACGAGATGGGTTCATCAAGGATGCAGCAAGTTATGCGATATTGGTAGAGATATATTTAATTTATCTGAGAGTTCTGATTTAATTAAAATTGTAATTCATTTACTTTAATGGGTCAGAGATGAAAGATTTATTACTTAATAATTAAGTTGGTGGAAGTGAAAATTAAAATTTCAAATTTCTAAATTTTACTTACTTTAATGGGCTGTGAAACTTTATTTTATAATTTCTCCTATTTAATGACATTAAAATAATTTATAAACTTTGCTTTGATATTGGTATTACTTAATTATAATTTTTCTTTTAGTTTTGTAATTTTTTTTTTTTTTTGATCGGCAAAGAAAATCTTTATTGATGAAATCATACAAAGTATGGAAAAGTACATCAATAAAGAGTAGCTTGGAGCTAAAGCAAAGCTCCAAGCACTAGTTGGTGAGGGACCAACAAACAAGCGAACAAGAGGAGAAGAGAGGGGAGAGACACAACAGGAAAACAGCAGAAGCAGAAAACAGATTCAGCTGATGTTCAAAATACAAAAGCCAACTTCTGCCTACCAACTAAGCCTTCCAAGGCCATCTCAATCAAAACAAAACAAATCAACTCCTCTGCCTACCAACTGAACCCTTCCAAATCCAGCTCAAAACAGATTCTGAATTCTGAAACATCAACACAAGGCAGCCCAACTGAAATCACAATAAACCAGTGCCTACCAACTGAACCCAGAATCAGAACATCACCACAAACCAGGGCCCAGAAACAGAACATCAGAAGACAGCACAGACCAGAAATTGTGCAGACCAACATTTCAGCAACAAAAACAGAATCAACCTACAGAGCTTCAGCAAGACAGCAATTAACTGAAAAGGCAGCAATTAACAGAATCAACCCACAAACTCAGATGAGGCTTCTAACAGACCAGATAAGGCAGATAAACTCCTCAATTAAAGACTCCTCAATTGAAGCTTCTAACAGACTCCTCAATTAAATCACACCAACCAAACTCACGCAAAAGCACTAGAACAGACCAGATAAACTGGACAGAAGACTCCGATGAAGCTCCTAATATTCCTCCAATTGCAAACTAGATCTGAAACTGAGAAGGGGAAGTCCTTGATAGAGGCCTTAAGCCAATGGGCTAACCTGATTTTGATTAGTTCCCACAGATCCTCTGAGTTAGGATGGGCATTAGAGAATACGCAATCATTTCTATGCTTCCAAAGAGACCAAACGACAACAAAAGGAATGGCTCTCCAAATTTTGGCAATAAAGCCCGTAAGCTTCCTACTCAACCACCAGTTAAATAAGTCTGCTACAGAGTATGGGATGCACCATTGGATCCCCCAGCCAGATAACACAGCAGACCAAATGGACCAAGAGAAAGGACAATGAAGTAAAGCATGATTGGCAGATTCAGGGGTAGATTTGCAGAAGATGCAATAAGGTGATGTATTGGAGTGTAGGATGCCAAGGTTGTGAAGGAACACTGCAATTTTAACTCTGTTTTTCCAGGCTAGCCATCCAAAGAAAAGGACTTTGGGGGGTAAGGGGTTGCCCCAAATAAATTTGGTTATGGTGAGGTCAGGACCCAGGAGAGATGTGCTAAATGAATAAAGAGAGGAGGCAGAGAAAGGACCTGAATCAGCTGTAGCAGGGTTCCAGACCAAACAATCAACACATCCAGTGGTTAAAGAGGGAGCAGAGGCCAACAAGCTAAGCAGTCGAGAAACATCAGGCAGTTCCCAAGTATACAAGGCTCTTCTGAAGTTGAAGTTCCAATCAGTATCATTAGTTTTCCTTGCAAGGAATTGTTGGAGAGAACCTTCCTTATCAACAGATAGGTTGAAAAGGGGTGGAAATTCATCATTGAGGCAAGTTGATCCACACCACTTATCGTACCAAAATCTAATTCTACAGCCATCCCCCACAAATCTTTTGCAGAGGTTCTTCAAAGGGGCACGACCATGACTATCAAAGTCAACGAAGATGGCCATGGTTGGCTTTACGAAAGTGTTATTATCAGGCTCAACTCAGATTTCTACATCAACAGTGTCAGATCTGCCTTGAAGGATAATGGGTTAGCTCAAGTTATGGTCCGACAGGGGGGAGGCAGGGATATTATTTTGACTTTCAAATCCAAGGAGGAGCTTCAATCTAATATCCAGAAAATTAGGGACTTGTTTAAAGATTGGAGCCAGGAGATGTGATGCAAGGACCTCACTAGCCCCAACCAGGACACCTTTAAGGAAGCCAAGATTAATAGCTCTGGTGAGAAGGATATTGAGCCCTTCAGCCACTATGTTGAATAGGAGCGGTGATAATGGGTCGCCTTGCCTAAGGCCTCTTTGCGGAGAGAACTCATTAGTTGGAGATCCATTGACAAGAACGGAGATACAGGCTGAAGACACACAAGTTTTTATCCAGGAGATCCACTTAGAACCAAATCCAAAGCTTGACATCATAGAGAACAAGAATTCCCAGTTGACTGAATCAAAGGCTTTCTCAAAGTCCAGCTTGATGATTAACCCTTGCCTCTTGGCCTTCTTCTATCCATCAACAACCTCATTAGCGATAAACACCCCATCTAGGATGTTCCTGCCACCTATAAAAGCTGTCTGGGTCTCACCTATGATTGAAGGCATCACAGGCTTTAGCCTCTGCACTAAAACTTTTGCTAAAATATTGTATAGAGAGCCCACCAAGCTAATGGGCCTATAGTCAGTCAGATGAATAGGACTATCTAGCTTGGGAATGAGGGTAATGAAAGAGCTGTTGATACCATAGGTAAGCTTGCTATGTTTGTGAAAGTCATTAAAGAATAGCATGATCTCATGCTTCATGACTTTCCAGAATTTCTGATAGCATAATAGATTAAACCCATCCGGGCCTGGAGCTTTGTTGCCATTGCTTTCTTTAATGGCTGCCCAAACTTCTGCTTCAGTGAAATTAGGTATCAGACACTGAGATACAAGACTATCCTCAATTACTTTGAATTCCCCACCCACGACAGGCCTGTTAATCCAAAATTCTTGGAAGTGGTTCTTGAAATGGCTGAACACCTCATGTTTGATCCTACTAGGTTCTTCATGAGAAACACCATTGGCTGAGATAGAGTTGATCATGTTTCTACTTTGACGGGAACTTGCAATTATTTGAAAAAACCTAGTATTTTTATCCCCTTTAAGAGCCCAATTCAGTCTGGACTGTTGATGCCATAGCCATTCCACCCTTCTATAGAGCTTCCACACTTCACCTCTGACTCTTCTTCTTCTAGCCTTTTCAGAATGTAGCAATTCTCTTCTTTCCGCAGTGATGTCCAGGTCATGCAATTCCTCCTCTGAAGCCTTAAGTTTGGTTGAAACATTTCCAAACACTTCGGTATTCCATTTCTTTAGTTCCAGCTTTAAGTGTTTTAGTTTTTGTTGGAGTATAAACCCAGCCCAACCCACAAAACTGGAATTCCCCCAGCAGGTAGTAAATAGTTGTGCAAATTTGGGATGCAAAGTCCACGCATTGATAAACCTGAAAGGTTTGGGGCCCCAATCTCTTTCATCTTTCATCATTAAGAGGGGACAATGATCAGATATGAGGCGAGGCAGCCCCCAGAGTTTTAGTTTGAAGTGAATTAACCACTCAGGGCTCAACAACACCCTGTCAATTCTGCTCCAATTCTGAGATTCTTGAGTATTGCACCAAGTATATTTCCTACCAAGTAGAGGAAGGTCATTTAATTCTGCAGAGTCTATGAATTCATTGAGTTGTTGCATGCCTCTGTCTCTCCTGGAGCAGCCTACTCTCTCACCCAAATTTCTTATTTCATTAAAGTCACCCCCCATGCACCAAGGGTTGGAAAAGTAGACCTTCAGATTGAGTAAAGTGTTCCAAAAAGAGGATCTACTGCTGACATCATTAGGAGCATAAATATTAAGTAGGACACAATGAAAGGAGTTATATAATGTACCTGAAAGTAAGATAAACCTCCTGTTGCAGCAGCTACCAGATAATTGGAAAACATCTGGGTCCCACAAACATAGAAGCCCTCCTGCAGTACCTTCTGGATCCACAGATAGGAACTCCATTTTCCTTTGACCCCAAAGCCCTCTGGCTAAACTGTCAGATACCACCAACTTCTTTGTTTCTTGAAGGAATACAATATCAATGTGCCTATCTTTTAGTAGCCTTTTGATTCTTCCCCTCTTCTCAGGCTTGCCAATGCCTCTCACATTCCAGGATAAAAGCTTCATAGTTAAACAAAATGACTCTCTGTTCGGCCCCAGTACACTACTTTCACTGTTAGGCCTTTCCATCCCTTATAAGCCTCTCCTTGTCCTTAAGTTCGAGCTCAATAAGCTTATCCACCACACCATCTTCCTGCCCTCGGAAAGTAATTCCCAAATCTTTTCCCA